CGGCGAATCGTCAAGATTCTATTGCGATGCGCAAAGATATCCAAGAACTGATGAGGATCATAGGTGCGCGAAAAAAACAGACAGAAGAGAATAGGAACCAAGGGTTGGTCAATGGCCAACAGAGGGGGTCGGAGGGACAATGTGGAGGGAGAGAGAGACGGAGAGCGTGGCGAAAGTCACGGCGGGTGGCGAAAACGGGTAGAATTGCCCCTTTTCGAGGGTTTTAATCTGCTAAATTGGATCAATCACGCGGAAAAAATTTTCAAAGTGCAAGGCGTCTCGGAGGAGGAGAAAGTGCGATTAGCATACATTAGTATGAAAGGGAGTACAGGATACTGGATCCGGGCTTGGAGAACAAAGGCCAGGAACCAATCCTGGGAAGGGCTGAAGGATGCGCTGGTAATGAGGTTTGGGGGTCGAAAGAGAGGGTCAATCTTTGAGCGATTAGCAGCAACTAAACAAATGGGGACAGTGGATGAGCTCGTCCAAGAATTCGAGGTTTTGGCAGGGCACACGAAGGGGTTGCCAAACAAACAACTACTGGGGTATTTCCTCGCGGGCTTGCATGAGGATATACGAAATCAAGTTCGAATACAAGATCCTCGAGCACTGATGGCCGCCAAGCAAATCGCCAGGGACGTGGAGGAAGCTCGCAAGGGAAATAAGGATGGGGGCTGAAATGGAAATAAAAATCCATCAACGTGGGGGCGGAGTGTAGGCGGAGGAGGTGCAGTGGCGAGAGTCGAACCAAATCGGAGTAGTGTGGGAAAGACAGGGGGAACGAAGAGCGTCGGGTCAGTCAAGAGGGAAGGACCCCAGGGCGGGACGCCAGACAGGACCGGGATGACCAGGGGTAGGGACAACAAGGGGAGGGGCGTCAGAAACTTACCATACCCGGAGTTCTTGAAGAGACGAAGCTTGCGAGTGGTGATATGGGGCGAGGATGAAGAGGAGGATATGGAAGAGACTGACGCGGACATGGACCAGAGGCAGATGGAACTTTCCTTATTCTCTGCAGGAGGATTAACATAGCCCAGGAAGATGAAGTTGCAAGGGAAGATAAAGGGGAGAACCGTGCTCGTATTGATCGACAGTGGCGCAAGCCACAAGTTTATATGACAAGGGGTGGTCGAGGAGTTGGGTTTGGAGGTAGAGGCGACCAAGCCGTACCACGTAAGCCTAGGGGATGGACAGAAGAGGAGGACCCAGGGGCTATGTAGGGGGGTAATATTGAAAATGGGGAAGGTTGAGGTTGAAGAACAGTTTTATCTTTTCGAACTAGGCGGAGTAGAGGCAATATTAGGGGTGGATTGGCTAACGAAATTGGGGGAAGTAACGACCAACTGGGGGAACCTCACCAATGCCTTCAGGCAGGGAGAAAAGGAGGTGGTGATCCAAGGGGATCCAGCATTGGCTAAAGCGGTGACCATAATGCTGGAAGCTAATAAAAGGCAGGAAGAATGGAAGTCCTTGGAGGAGGAATTGCCACCACCCAAGCCGCCAGACCTGAATTGGAAGGTTGTAGCTAGTGGGGGTTCCTTCATATGATAACATGAGAATGAAGAGGAGCCATGAGATCAAGCTTCCCGGTTTCAACCTTGAGGACAAGGTTGTTCAGCAGCGGGGAGTAATGTTAGGACTTGGAAAGTATATGAAAGGAGAAAGAGAGTAGAAAAATAAGGAAGAGTACCTAACTACTGAGTAGTAAAATGGGGCGGGAAAGGTGTCTATATAAGAGACCTCTTTTGTAGTTTCAGGGGGTTAGTGACTACATTCATTGTACAAACCGGTTGTAAACTTGGTGAGGGAGGTTAAGCTCCCGGATTCTTAATTGTATTCTTTGTTCATTGCTTGTGAATACAATACGTTTCTTTTTACTCATTCTTGTTTTGCGTTTCTTGGAGCTTACTGGTGAGAGAGTGTTAGGTCTTTAACTCAGATACCTAACAATCTAACTGACAAAATAGAATTCCACTCAAGTTAGGTCAAGAATATATTAATAATATAAAATGAGATTAGAGACACTTTTAAAATCAATAGAATTACATACCCCATGTCATCATAGCCCATGACAAGTGCCTCACCCTGCAATAATATCAAGCTCGTCATTAATAACAATGTGATACAAAAAAAATACCATAATTTTTTTTTGTTTATGCCAGTGCAAGTGCATCTTTGAGAATTAGATAGATGATAACTAAGCTATTAAAAAAATGATTCTTCAATGAAAATATTCATGAAAATACAGTCAATTTTTTGTTATATTGATCTACAAGTAATAATCATGTCAAATCTATGAAATTAATAATCATGTCAAATCCCACATCACTCTGTTGTGCAGCTCTAATGCTCTATAGATAATAAAATTAATAACAATAGACAATAGCAAGACTTAATGTCATGCTATGGTGAAAGAATCTTTTAAGTAGACTCCATGATAGATTATTTACTCTTTGTTCATGTTACTGTATATTGTTGTAAAATTAAATGCAGGAACACATAGAAATTCTAATCACTAGTAAGTTTGTAAATGTATTAATTAGTTCACATATATGTACGGGCACGGTCAACTTCTCAATGTTCAGTGTAAAGCCTCACTCACATAACTGTCAATTAAGCCAGATGGTTGACAACTTAATATACACATTCAGTGGTCAGCATATTCAATTTTAGAATAATACTACAACAGTGTAGACAGAATTGATTTTATTATATGAAATATTCACGTAATGACCTATCTATTGTTCACGGCATCCTCTTCTAGCCCAATAATCTTATATAGTAACTCTTCTAAACAAAAGTCAAGACAGCCCAAGAAAAATATGACAAGAGATAGAGATTAGTCACAATTTTCTACTGCAACAGCAAATTAACAGTATGAACTTACAAGATTAGTTGGTGTGAAACGAGTGTTAGCATCCTTAGTTGCATAAAATCGATCAAGTAGCTTCTTGATGTGATCATGCATTGTAGCATCTGTACCAATACCCTCCTAAGAGAACAAATAAAAACAATAGGTATACAATTGTTAATATCTAAATCTAATGGCACATAATTGGACTTGTGCACAACAAAGGATCAAATTTCTAGTCAATCAGATTCTAAATAATTCTTACCTTGTCCATACAACTCAGCAAATCAGCTTCACTTAAAAGTGGTGGTGGGCGGGTTACTCCTGAATCAAGGATAAATGTTGATGGAATGAACTGCAATATCAATAGCACTGGTGAATATTTATTCTTAGATTTTTCAGAAGATGAGAAAGGATTGAAGAAAGGTAAAAATGTATTACTGGATGCTTTGATACACTGTAACACAAGAGTCTATAAAGGAAAATATGACAAGGGTTCAACTGGAGCTGATCTGTTAGACAAACCTAACAGTCAACTGACAGAAAGGAAAACATACACTCCAGCAGGCTCAGAATAAGGCCACCACCCCTGTCCTACCTTACTCTAGCATCTTCAGCTAGGATGCAAATAGCATACATGGAAACATGAACCCAAATATTACATCTATAATATGCAGAAAAAGTATCAAAAAATTGAGTCTAGGATTACAAAGGCTACATGAACCATAATCCAAGTGAATGTGTAACATCTTAGACCGAGACCCTCACCACTAAGGTTGGAAATTGGAAGTGTGAAGTTGCATGATTGGGCATCTACAATGCCATAACGCTACCAACATCAATATTGGATAGGTTTTAAATGCCATATTAGAAATAAGCATAGTCTAGGTCAATACCGAAATTTATCTGTAGAGGAAAAGGATCACAAAAGTTTTATTATAAAGTGTAATTTTGGGAGAAGAATACGATTTTTATTATCCTACATTGATCAAAATTACATTACAGCCATGTAGGAAAAGACTATTAATAGAAATTATAAACACCCTCATTACATAATAAATAAAGGAGAATAAAACCCCGTCCCCACATGTTGGTCCATTGATGTCTAGCATGCCCAACTAATGAGGAAAATGGCAAGTGGAGCTTCACACAGAGCTCTGCTGCAACAAAAAGGTCAACTCACTCATGGTTATTAGCACATTAAATAGATACTTGAGGTAATACATGAAAAATCTTATGTTTTGGTAACATTGCCATAAAAACAAAATTTGTCAAATTCCTAAATATTCAGCCTCTAATATGGAACTAAATACCACACAGGAGCTTGCACAAGAATAAGTAATTTATCAAAATGTGCCGTACTGAGATTTGTTGTGTTGAAATTTCATCAGGAAACTGACAATTATGACAATGAACAGCATGTGAGGAAAATGCCAAATGCCAGATATGACACGACAAGACAAAAAATATACAACAAAGTCACCAATGACTAGTACAAGAAGGATTTATAAAATCTGATGCAATAATTCAAAGCAAAACCTGTTGACCAATAGTATATGTTGGAATCAGTGATCCACCCCATGATTCGTAGTGATAAACATCCAAGTAGTTTTTCTGATCAGATTACAATAAGACAATAACATAATCAGAAAATTTGCAACTTGCCCCTAACATATATGAAATGCTTAGTAAATAAAATTAAAAACATTAATGGATGGACATGCACCACACGAGTTTTAGTAATTCCAAAAACTAATTCAATGCTGAAGTTATCACTAGAGATTTGAGTTCGTAAAAAGGAAAAAAGTGTTAGTTTGATAGTTCATACAGCAATAAATAATCAAGGAGGTTCAAAATATGATTAAGGGAGCATGAATAGGCAGTTTTTGTTAATGATTAAGAGTTGAAAAAGAATTTTGAATGATTTCAAACAGCAGTAAAGTTGAAAACAACCAGAACTATTCCTAAATAGGCTGTACAGAATAAAATCAAAGTGCAGTAAGCTCGTTGTACCTTTAAGAGTTGAAAAAGAATTTTGAATAATTCAAACAGCAGTAAGGTTGAAAACAACCAGCAAGAACTATTCCTAAATAGGCTGTACAGAATAAAATCAAAGTGCAGTAAGCTCGTTGTAGCTTTAAGGAGATTTTTTCAATCTGCACCGTCACTATTGCTGATTAGTCAGCAATTTACTCACTTTAATTTTAAGGAAAAAAATTTATTCTTAATACTTTATTTCTCTTAAGTAGTGTTGGAAGTCCCACATCGACTAGAGATAAGCCCAATTTATAATATATAAGTGGGTGTAAATCTCACCTTACAAGCCAGTTTTGTGGGGTTGAATTAGGCTTAAAGTCAACTTCTTAATATGCTATCAGAGATATGGTTAGAGCTTATCCTATCGATATTTATTGTTTGTTGGACATGTTGTTCCACCCGCTATCGGGCTGTTATCGAACTACCTATTAATGTCTAGTCTCATGCCTGTGATGATGTCTATACCTCGACTTGACGAGGTGTGTTGGAAGTCCCACATCGACTAGAGATAAGGTCAATTTATAATATATAAGTAGGTGCAAACCTCACCTTACAAGCCGGTTTTGTGAGGTTGAGTTAGGCTTAAAGTCCATTTTTTAACAAGTAGATTTTAAACTTAATTCAATCCTACAAGGGGGCCTAGAATTCAATTTATATGTTCCAAGCTTGGTGCATATGATCTATATGCTCTAGCTTGAGGGGGAGTGTTGAAGTATAGTGCCTTTATTATTATTAATATTTATGTTAGGGCTTTGTTAGGGCTTTGTTAGGGGTTTCCTGCCCTTTTACTTTTCAGAACTATTGTCTCCTATAAATACAGTAATAAGTTGTATTAGGCTTTCTAAGTGAAAAATATAAGACTCTTCATCTTCTCTCAACTCTTCAAGTGCATCCACTTATACAATAAATTGTCCTTATATCTAAGATTCTATAAGGGATATCCAACACAAACCTCATGTCAAGGCATCTACATCTCAAGCATGAAACTATATATTTTTTGGAGGCCTGATACAATGGACTTTAAGTTTAGACTCTAAACGGCTCTGATACAATGGACTTTAAGTTTAACTCAACCTACAAAACTAACTTGTAAGATATGGTTTGAGACAATCAATAGTATCATCAAGACCAACTTTGATAACAAAAATCCACCTCAACCACCAACAGATTTCCCAGGTAAAGTAACAAGTTCCCAAGTTTCACTACTCCAAAGAGTACTATTTCATAAAGAATGGCTTGACCCCAACTAGGACAGACTAAGACCTCACCTACAAATTATGGAATTGACATAAAAGAAATAGATAAAAAGACAAGTATGAAGTGAGGAAGATAACCTATGATAACTCAAAGCAATACAATGAGGGATGGGTTACAAGTAGAGTGTATACCTTTACGGAGGACACTGAGAAGATTAGATTCAATTGTTAAAGCCAAAGGGAATGAAGTAGTTGGCACTATAAGAGAGTCATTTAATGGACAATGAGAAGATTAGATTCAATTGTTAAAGCCAAAGGGAATGAAGTAGTTGGCACTAGAAGAGAGTCATCTAATGGACAATGGGTACTCTGATGGTGACAATACACCCGAAGAGCTGGTGGAGGTGGGGGATCTGGAGATACACTTGACACGATAGGAGGATCACAAACAATTGGGATAATGACTTGATCAAATGGAGACACAGCAAGAGAAAGATTAGACCTAAAGTAGAGGGAAGACTCAATAAAGGTGACATCTAATAAATTAAGAGAAGGAGAGAAACATTTATACCCTTATTGTGATCTGGTAAATCCTAAAAAAAAGACACATTTATGCAATGTAGTAGATAATTTCTCAGACTAAGACCAAGATTGTAAACAAAGCATGTGGACCCAAATACTAAGTGGTAAGGGATGTAGCAGTTCATGAGGAAATCAAATAAAATGACAAATTTTATTATCTAAAATCAAAGATGGCATACAATTAATGAGATAACATTCACTAAAAAATACCACAAAAACGTTGAGGGACCTCATCATGTACTAAAATTGTGCAAGTTGATTCACCGAGATGTCTATTCTTGCACTCAATCGCCTCATTTTGTTGAGATGCATAAGTGCACATGAGGTTTCATGAAAAATGTCGTGAGAAACCATAAAATTTTAAAAGGAAGGAGAAAGATACTCGCAAGCATTATCACTTCAAAAAGTTCAAAAAGAAACTCCAAATTGAGTTTTAATTTCATTGTAGAAAGACTCTAGATATTTGAGAGAGGTCCGAAAACAGATGACACAGTAGGCTTAACAAACAACAAATCTTGCTATGATAGACTTACATAGTTATGATACCATCTTTAAAAGTGGATTATAAGTCTAACTCAACTCTACAACACCAACTTGTTAGATAAGGTTTACACCCACTTATACACAATAAATCATTATTATCTCTAAGAGTCAATGTGGAATCTCCAACAATTTCAACATGCCATGTTTAGGAAACAAAATTTTAAGCTTGAGAAGGAATAGGAAGGAAGATAGAAAGATGGCTTCAAATTGGTAGCAAGAAAATTCCACCATAAAGTATTATAATATGTAGGACCCAAGAAGTTAGAGAATTGAATACATTGTAGGAATCAATTAGTATGTTATAGTTGAAAGTACCAGCCTAGCCAAATGGGAGGAGGGGTTGCAGGGTAAGTCATTAGAAATGATAGTTTCAGAAAACTATAGCTCAGTTGCAAATGGAAGGGATATATAGAAGTTGAGTCTCTAATTGAATCCTAAGTCCAGTGAGTAATTTCCTCTTACCTTTGTCTCTCTTCCTTGCCCAAAAATAACATTTTGCTTTGAAACTATCGCTCACACCAAATCAAAAGCCTTTGAACAAATTCAGAATGTAATCAATAAGACCTGACCTAAAATATCCTGAATCATCTGAGCTAGAGACAAGCGCTCATATTGATATTTATTCCTCGTGACTTGCTTATTACCTTAAGATAAAGATTGCTAAATATCCAAAACACTTATGTATTGGTCTAATGGCTCCACAGACCAATATAATCTCTAATTATAGCTTTTAGCTTAAAGGTAAGCACTCTGTCCAACAATTGGTATCAAAATCAAAGTCACAAGTTCAATCCTCAGCAAGAGAATTGTTGACGGTAAGATTGTTGAGTTGGATTAGTTGTCTCATTACATAAGTCATAATTGAATCATCACGCTTAGGGTACTACACTTTTAAGTAAAAATAGATATGCTATGGTGATAGGACTTTAAAGGTTTATGTTAAGAGGAAGAATTAAAATAAGAAGTTACATGACAATTAAGATGGGTTGGACGGTTTAGGGGAGTGGTTAGTAAGGTAGTTTTTATGTAGTATGGGTTTCTGCTGGCAGTGTGGGTAATTTGGTTATTTTGGACATGGTGTTTCTTGTAGAAAGGGATTTACTTCCCTTGGATGCTATTGAATACTTTCTCAGTTTCGTATTTCCTTAATTCAAGTGTTAATTTAAGTTGCATTGTAACATCTGAGTGTTTAATTCTTATATTAGATCAGAAAACTGATTTCTTGTTTCCAAGAAACCTATCAATTTGGTCCGACCTGCCAGATCCAACAACACCGAGAGAATCATGGAGCGTAGAATGAACATATTTTAGAGAGGACAATGGAGGAGACGAGGGAAGAATCCAAAGCCAATTTTCAAAGGCTTGGCAAGATCATGGAGGATGTGATGTGCAGACTTAAGAATATTGAAAAGGGTTCTGAAGGAATCAAAGATTTTGTAAATGGGGATAGAGTAGGAAGAAGAGAAGAGGTGGATGAAAAATGGGAGGAAGAAAAAAGAGAAAACCAGCGGGGGTGGATGAAAAAAGTAGAATTGCCTAGGGAACAAGATAATTACGGTAATTAGAGCTATATCCTAGGGAAATATTCAGTACAAGTTAATTACAGCAATTAGAGCAATATCCTAGGGAAATATTCAGCACAAGTTAATTATAGTAAATAGAACTATATTCTAGGGAAATAATTAATATAAATAAAGCCTAGACGCTATCATTGAAGGCATTCTTTTGATTATTGAGTTTTGTTAACAGGCAGCTAGAGTCCTATGAGAGAGGTTATGCTCCCAATTATCTTTGTTTACCTTTGTTTATTCAGATATTACCATCAATAAAAGAGATTCATTCATCCAATTATCATTCGTTCATTGTCTTTTCTACCTATTGTGATCGTATTTAATTACGTTTCCTACACGGATACGTAACAAAGGGCACGTAACTAGGAAAAAGGATTAGAAGGCAGTCCAGGGTCTGTAGATGGAGATCAAGATTCTGTTAACGGAGGAAAAATAGGAAAGAGAGAGGAATTTCTTCAAGATGTCTTGAAAGGAAAGAAAGAGGGAAAAACAAGTAGGGATGTTGTGAAAGGCAGTCTGCAAAACATCAAGAAAGGCAAGAAATTCCTAAAGAAGGAGAGTACTTGGCTAATGATGAAGATGACCCATGGGTTGAAGGAGTGGAGTTGTCCAAAATTGAAAGGAATGGCACCCAGGGTCAAACAACAAGGGCAAAGTATGTTTTTGAAGTTGAGAACATCAAAGGATCACCAAAAGTACACCCAACAGTAATAACATGGAAGAAAATGCAGTCCAAGGGTTCAAGACCTGGCAACAAAAATCCAAGAACCTTTCTTGGGAAGATCTTCCAAAAGGCCTCTATAGGAGTTGCAGGGGCAGAGAATGCAGCAACACTTTTGAAAAGTGTGAGAGTAGAAAACAGAGTGCTATTGCTGGAAAATGGGCAACAATTAAACAAGAACGGGGTGGAAGATTACATTCAAGATTTTGAAGAGGAAAAAAACAATAGGAGTGAATTTTATTATGCTATTGATGTGCTGCCTAGTAATAATACGCAACATCATGGTTTATGGGATATGGATATTCTTTATATCCATAAAGATATTGGCATTCTTGAGGAGGTAGGGGAAAATGCACGGAGAGTTTTACTTGAGAGTTTGGCAGCAGTAACATGGTCTGGGAGTGGGGAAAAATTCATCCAAGAATTTAAGATATTGGTGTCACAAGCAAGTAAAACACCAGAAGATCAATTGCAGAAATTTTTCTTTGCAGGGCTGCAATCTAACATTCACAATTGGTTGCCACAACAGGATCTAAAGAACTTGATGAGAGATTCACAAAGTGCTCTAATTGTGGGAGAAAGGCCAGCAATGAAGAATCACACTCTATGTAGGGAAGAAAAAACCAAAACAGAAGGGAAATTGGGAACATAAAAATATAGTATGATGGAGGAGGAAGGGGATGCAACAATAAAGAGAGCTGAAGGTGGAGATGCAACCAAGCAACAATCGATGACATTGGAATTTTGGGATTCCAAATTACTGGGTTCAGACTTGGTATGCAAAAACCACTCTCATATCAACCACCACCCAAGCCTCAAGATCTTGCAAGCAGTAGCCAGTGGGTTCCCTTCATATGATAAAAGTTGATGAAGATGACCCATGAGATCAAGTTTCATGATTCCAACCTTGAGGACAAGGTTATTTAGCAGCAGGGTGTAATGATAGGATATAATGTTATAGGTTATAATGGATAATGTGTGCAGAATAAAAGGAAACAGCTTAGGAATTAGTTGTGAGTTTGGTTAGTTGGTTGGGGGACCTTTATAAGAAGGCAGGGAGCTCTTGTGTCAGGACACTATTGGATAATCTTGTAGATTGAGCTTTGGCTCTTTGTGAAGGGCAAACCCTTGGAGGAAAGAGTGCTCTCCTATTCTTTGTGTTTTTTACCGTCTATACAATAAAGAATATTACTCTTTTGTCTGTTTTCAATTTTGGGTACCTATCAGATATAATTAGATTTATTCGTTTGTTAGTATTGATTGATGAAGGTTTCCTAATTTGTAATTATCAGGTATGATTTGATGTCCATAATTCTAGCATTACAATGAAAGTTGTATAAATAGTAATCTTTATAGTTCGACTGATCAGAAAATATATATTCATCCTTCCTCATAATCCAAATGCTTCAAAATAGATCCAATATTTGTCTTACATCCCAATATGGGCCATCCGCATCATGCACAACAAACATCTCACCTCTAGAATCACCCTCCCACATGCAGAAAATAGTTCACCAGCAATACCAATTTCAACGGTGGTTTCAGCTCCTACAGCAGGCTTTGAGACACACGCCAAAAAGTGGCGAACAACCAGCTCATACAGTTTCTGTGTCAATTTAAGAAATAATATGAATGTCCAAGCAAAATGCAATTCTTAAAGTAAAAAGAGTGGTATTGGAATCATGTCTGACACGGTGGTCTTGGCTCCATCCAGATTCTCCAGTAGAAAATTTTGTTGGGTGAATGGGTGGATGAGCCTTGTCATCATGTCCACCACCTCTAGGGTTTCTCCAAAGCCCTGTCCCAGGGTCCAACAACCGTTGCGCATATACTCCCCACTCTGGATGCCCTTGTTGTTCTTGCACAATTGTCTACAATTGGAAATAAAAAAGAAAAATGAAAGATCAGTCATTCAGGAAAAAAGCTTTACCAAGGATTAAGGGTGAAACAACAATATTGTTAAAACAAGACAGGTTGAAAAACACAAGTCAAAATCTTTAAGCACAATAATTTAGTATGGTGGCTGTAAAAGCCAGATCTTCTTTACCTGCATAAAAGAATATATTTTAATCTCTACTACCATATATTACAAAAGAAAAGTACCTGACGTGCATAACATCACCATATATTAAAATGTTAAGTGCTTCCTGTAGACAACAAACCTCCTTTATAAAAAACTTGATTCACCTCTTGTTATTGTATTATTCATGCAATCAACAATACAATTTATAGACCTACAATTTTTTTACTATTGTACTCAAAACAGACAAAAACGGCTATAAACGGCTAGCTCATTAACTGCCTAGACTCCAACAGCTAGTACATTAACTACCCATAATGGCTAATTACCCAGCTAATACAAGTTCATAAAAAACCAAACAAAACTCTCCTATAAACTTAAATGTTTCTTTTATTCTTTATCTCCATTTTTTTATTCTTCATCCCGGCTTTCCACGTGCATTAACTCCTTTCACACCATGTTTGCTCATTTCATAAATAATTGGGTTCTTACCTTTCTTCATGGCCGACTTGTCCTTAATTGGGTTCATTTTTATCTCTATGGCCAACTTGTCATTAACTAAGTTTTTGTCAAAAGGTCCAACTCATTTTAAGAGATTGGACCGTCTTTGTCAACTTAGACAGGGACACACTGTTTATAAAACTGACCATCTCACTCTCTCTTCTTTTTCAAACACTTAAGCTCTCTAGCTTTCTCTTTTTTTCACTCAAACAATCAAGGTCATTGACTCTTAATACTACTTTGAAGAAAACAAACCTCTCTTGTGAAAAAACTTGATTCACCTCTTGTATTATTCATGCAATCAACAATACAATTTATAGACCTACAATTTTATGATTGTTGTACTCAACAAAAAAGAGCGACTAAAAGCGACTAACTCATTAACTACCTAGACTCCAAAGGCTAGTATATTAACTAGCCACAACCGCTAATACATTAAAGTTATAACAAACCCAACACTTCCAATAACATTCAAATCAATAAGTATAACTTTTAGAATAAATAGTGTTAAATAGGACTTCCTGTAAGATGATTTGTGTTTTGTCATAAACCTAGTTACTAGATGTATCTGATCAAATTCCTTTCACTTCCTTCTCATAATTATATCTGTTAAGAAGTGGACTTTAAGCCTAACTCAACCCTACAAAACCGGCTTATAAGGTAAGGTTTGCACCCACTTATATACACTAAATTGGCCTTATCTCTAGTCGATGTGGAACTTCCAATATATCCCCCTCACGCCGAGGTATAGACATCTTCTCGAGCATGAGACTAAACATTAACGAGTGATCCGATAAAGGCCCGATAGCGGGTAGAACAACATGCCCAACAAACAACATATATCGCTAAGATAGGCTCTAACCATAGCCCTGATACCATATTAAGAAGTGGACTTTAAGCCTAAATCAACCCCACAAACCTGACTTGTAAGATGAGGTTTGCACCCACTTATATACACTAAATTGGCCTTATCTCTAATCAATGTAGGACTTCTAATAATATCTAATATATTCAAAACTATTATAAATATGAAATCCTAAGAGAGGGAAATACCCTCTCTCAAATTCATTCCAATTCCTCTATATATTTCTCAAGTTGGTATCACAACAAGTCAACCTTGCTCAGCTGATCTCAATTTGTTAAAGGAATGTCATTTGGTCATTGTCCTTGTTATCAGCTACCATCGCAATCGTCAGTCACCAAAGTTTCCTCTTCAAACACTTGGGTCTGAGGTGCCTAGAAGAGTGCAACCCAATCCCAATGGTTACGCAAGCCACTACTGCCCTATGCGTATGTGTCTCACACGACACCTTCCAATGGTTAGAATCTTTGTGGACCACCATTGTTATGCTCATCAAAGTAGCCTAAGCCTTTTTCCACCCTATGTTCCTTGTTTCAGGATCAATTGATGGGTCTTCTAGAATTATCTCCCCTGAAACCCTAGGTTTTCCTATCCTGAAACCCTAGTTACATTTTGTTTTTCTCTATTGTATTACTAGACTATATCTTTGCCTTCATGATGCTCATCATATCTTCAAGAGCTATATCATCTTTTTTTCGAGACTCCTTCCATAACTTTTGGAAAATTAGTTGTCATGGTCTGCCTAAGTGGAACTTTGGTTCCTTGGCCAAGGTTTCCCTGATCACTTGGAAGAAGATGAGTTTGGTACCTCCGAATCAAATTCAATAGCTTTGTGCTCTACTTTGGCAATTAGTAGAGCCAAATATTTTGAGTACTCTCATATCCCTCAAAACATGTAATTTTTTTCAAAAATAAAGCCCAAAATGTTTTTGTGAACTATACCCAAGACCTCTACAATTAGACTATTAATTGGCTTCTCTCAAGTAGCCCAATAATGACATGATGACTTTTATTGTTGAAGCTCAATCAAAAGTTAAGGAATTAAAGATGTTCTTGGAAGTTGATTCACTAGATGAGATAAAAAAACAAAGAAAGAAATTGGCAAAATTTTATACAGATCCTCTAAGCAATGAATCCAGATTTGATCATGTTAGAGATCAAACTTTGATTGGTCAAGAAGTTCCTTCAATGAAAAACTTGATAACATGGCTCTTTCGTGTTCCAACACTTAAGAATAGAAATATTCAAGAATTTGTTAAGTCTTCTACCATGGTTTCTACTTGAGGAAAAGGAAGTCATCTAGAGGACGGCGTGGTGGTAGAAGACGTCATCAATGCACATATTGTAAAAGAGTGGGTTACACCCAAGATAATTGTCACTTATTACATGGCTTCCCTAACCGATATTTCCAAATCTAAAGGTTTTGAACCAAAGTTCTTTAATGAAAAATATCAGGAATATTTAAGGTTGAAATCTAACAACCAAGCCCAATCATCTACATCTCCCAATTTGTCAATAACTTGCACTTTACAATCGAGAGTCAAAATCCATGGATTGTTGACTCAGATGCATCTAATCATATTTTTGGTAATATCTTTTCTTTCTCTTGTCTCTCCATACCTATAATATCTCATTTCATAACCATTGCCAATAGATCTAAAGTAACTTCCAGAGGAATTGGTTGTTCAAGTTGCTCTTTCTCCTTCTTTGTACAAACTAAAGATAGTGCCTAAACTTAATAGTCTCCAAACTTTGGAATGTGAATCATATCAATTAGGAAAAATGGTTAGGTATTATTTTCCTAATCATTTTGAATCTAAAAGTGACTATGCTTTTTCCATTACCCATTCTGACATTTGGAAACTAAGTAGTATGTCATCTTGTGGTTTTACATATTTTGTTACTTTTATTGATGACTTTTCTACATGTAATTAGGTTTATCTAATGAAAGATCATTCTGAACTTCTATCAAATTTCTTGTCTTTCTTTAATGAAATCAATAATCAATTTGGAAAAGTAATTGATGAGGGCAAATTTATGCCTATATTTTAGATTTAATTTCAAAATTTTAGTGGAATAATTGTGCTTAAATGATTGATTTGAATAAGATTTGTAATTATTGACTTTATCGGGTTTGGGAATTAAAGAGGTTTAAAATGTGATTTTAGTTGCATGAATTATTTTGGATAGTCTAATATTTGTTGATAGAGCTGGAACTAAAGTTTGAATTGCAATTTTGAAAAGAAAGAAAAGGCTAAAGTGCAATTAAAGGAAATTTCTAGACTTATGTGCAATTTTGAATAAAATAAAAAGGGTTGAAATATAATTTTGGACAAGTTTAAATCTATTAGATATTTTTAAGATAATTTGGAGAAAATATATCTTAAGATATTTTATTTGATATTGTTAAATAATTACCTTATTTAACTATATCAATAAATATCAAAAGATAATATTTGCCAAATCTTTTTGAATCTAGAAAACATATTATCAAATATTCTCAAAAACCAATTAAATTTGTTGAATATTTGGAAGATATTAGATATAAGATAAAAGATCTTATCAACAGAAGATTCAGAGTTGAAGCCCAATCAAGCTTATATAAAGAGGCTCAGGGGAGGTAGAAATCATAACTCATTCATTCTCTCAGACTTCTCCACTGGAAGCCATCATCCACCACTCCTCTCACTTTTATTTTACCATGTGTTTCACTACATTCATGAAGGGCTAAGCTTCTAAGACTATTCCACTGTAATCTCATTATGGATTATGAGGTTAAGTTGAATTAATGAATTTTTTTCCACTGTAATTTCATTATGGATTCTGAGGTTAAGTTGAATTAATGAATTTGTTTCTTTTGATTATTGATTTGAGTTATTCTTCTTTTATGTCTTTCATCTCTCAATCATATTAAAAGCAATGATTTTTGCATCATAAGGTGTTTGAATCTACATGCATATTAATCATATGAGTTCAAGGGTTTCTAGGTTTGATTGAGAATCTACTTTAATTGAATTTAGGAACTTTCATATGATTAAATGAAATTTTGCTATCACTTGAGAATGTACTTTGATTGGTGGTAATAATTTCAACTATAATTAATTGAGAATTTACTTTGATTAATTAGCTTTTAATTTGGTTAGGAGATTTAAAAATAGACATGATTAAACACAATAGGATTTGATTGAGAATATACTTTGGTTGAATTCATTGTAAATAATCTAGAAAGGTTTTGCATTTGATTGAGAATCTACTTTGGTTAACTACCTGATCACCCTCAAATTAATTAAAAATGTACTTTAATAAATTTGAAACTTGAACAATAATCAATTGAACAATGATCTGTGGATAGTCAATGATGAATCTATCTTGGAAAAGTAGTGAATTAGACTATTTCATCATAATTGTTTCTAAGTTTCCTATTTGTTCTTCAAACATGCTTCATACATTAACTTCATTAGCATAGTTTCTCACTTTTATTCTTGAGC